GGAGCAGGCTTGAGCCCCAAAACTTGGACACTGCTGTCACCAACTTATGACAAATATTATCACTACAACGGCTTGCTTTGCTTCTTCCCTCCAACCCTGTATATACTCCTGTTTGCTTTTCCTGTTTCACAGCAGGTTTCTTTTTTTCCCTGTGAATATTGAGGTTAAAAAGCCTGTGACTCTTTGTCATCAATTTCCCCTCCTCATCTAATAATAGTTAGCACTTTAATTTTTATATATCTTTTCAATCCAAAAGTACTGAGCTGTATTTCTCTACTGCCAATTATGTGGGGAGGTGGCTCTAATTCCTTTCCTGCTTTAGCTTTTTCTCTCTTTGGCCTCAGAGAGTCTTAACTATTTTTATATTGCTATTGGTAGAGAGGATAGCTTCTATTTGTGGATTCCTCTTTAGAACTATTCACTTAAAAGTAACCTGAAGGTATAACTAAAGTTAGTTAAATTTTAAAGCATTATTCCACCTGATAAAGACCAGAAAGAGGGGCAAAGCTGTTTACCATCAACAGGTCAAAATAGAATTCTTTACAGGCCGAGCAATTTTTTTTTTTAAGATTTATCTATTTGAGAGAAAGCACACAAGCGGGAGGATCAGGGAAAGAGAGACAGAATCCATACTGAGCATGGAGTGGGAAGCAGGGCTTGATGTCACCACCCTGAAATCATGATCTGAGCCAAAACCAAGAGTCAATATTTAACTGACTGAGCCACCCAGGCACCCCCAGAGCAACTTTTTCTTATTTCTTTGACTAAAACAATTAAAAGCATTGCTAATTACTAGGAGCAGGCTTAAAATAATGATGAAGAAATAGAAAACTAATTCTTAATGGACAAGCATAGAATTCTCCATTCAACGTGCAAATAAAAACTGATCTGTGCAAATCAGACCATTCTTTCCTCTTCTTTATGGAATGAATACAAAGGGCCACACCACCAACAGAACATTAGAAAGATTAATATCTGCAGGGAAAAAAAAATACTTTGTGTGGTATTTATCACCACAAGGAATATTTTATGTATTACAAAAGACTATTATTGGGATCCCTGGGTGGCGCAGCGGTTTAGCGCCTGCCTTTGGCCCAGGGCGCGATCCTGGAGACCCGGGATCGAATCCCACGTCGGGCTCCCGGTGCATGGAGCCTGCTTCTCCCTCTGCCTGTGTCTCTGCCTCTCTCTCTCTCTGTGACTATCATAAGCAAATAAAAATTAAAAAAAAAAAAGAGATAAAAAAAAACAAAAGACTATTATTTATTCAGTATTGACCATCTACACAAAGGTAAGCTATGGGAATATATAATAATATATATGTCCTGCCCTCAAAAAAGGCTTACATAAACCCAAATTCTCTTTTACAACATGAAATTAATAAAACAGTTTCAAATTCAGATGAGATTCTATGAATATGTGTTGATCATGTAACTAATACTAGCACTGAAAATTTAAAGATTTATTTATTTATTTATTATTTACTTATTTACTTATTTACTTATTTATTTATTTATTTATTTATTTATGATACACATAGAGGGAGGGAGAGAGAGGCAGAGACACAGGCAGAGGGAGAAGCAGGTTCCATGCAGGGAGCCTGATGTGGGACTCGATCCCGGGACTCCAGGATCGCGCCCTGGGCCAAAGGCAGGCGCCAAACCGCTGAGCCATCCAGGGATCCCCAGCACTTAAAATTTAAATTCAGGGCAGCCCCAGCGGCCCAGCGGTTTAGCACCACCTTCAGCCCCGGGTGTGATCCTGGAGACCCAGGACTGAGTCCCAGGTCCCTGCATGGAGCCTGCTTCTCCCTCTGCCTCTCTCTCTCTCTCATGAATAAATAAATAAAATCTTTTTTTTTTTTTTTTTTTTATTTATTTATGATAGTCACACACACAGAGAGAGAGGGGCAGAGACACAGGCAGAGGGAGAAGCAGGCTCCATGCACCGGGAACCCGACGTGGGATTCGATCCCAGGTCTCCAGGATCGTGCCCTGGGCCAAAGGCAGGCGCCAAACCGCTGCGCCACCCAGGGATCCCTAAATAAAATCTTTTTAAAAATTTTAAATTCAGTTGGCAAATTCAAACTCCACCTGCTACAGTATAATGTTGTGTCTTCAGGTTCTCATCACAATTCAAGATTTTAGAGCAGGATGAGAGATGAGCTGACTGAATTCATCAATCCTCTCTACAATTTCCAGGCAAAAAATGATCGACCATTTTATAGGCACCTCCAGTGGTGAAAAATTCTATTAACACATTCAATCAAACATGTCCATTTTTGATTGGGAAGGAATCCAGTCTCCACTCATAAACCTAGCTTCCCAAGACCTGGAATCTCCTATTCAATACAAATGGCACCAAATGACTTCAAACCAAAGGGTTTACACTTTACACTGAGACAATGAAAATAAGCTCACTCTATTATAAATTCTAATATAGAGATGCCTGGGTGGCTCAGAGGTTGAGCTTCTGCCTTCAGCTCAGGGTGTGGTTCTGGATCCTGGGATCGAGTCCCACATAGGGCTCCCTGCAGGGAGCCTGCCTCTTCTTCTGCCTATCTCTCTGCCTCTCTGTGTGTCTCTCATGAATAAGTAAATAAAATATTTTAAAAATAGGGACACCTGGGTGGCTCAACAGTTAAGCGTCTGCCTTTGTTCGGCTCAGGTCATGATCCTGGAGTCCCAGGATCGAGTCCCACATCAGGCTCCCTGCATGGAGCCTGCTTCTCCTTCTGCCTGTGTCTCGGTCTCTCTCTCTCTCTCTCTTCAGGTCTCTCATGAATAAATGGATAGAATCTTTAAAAAAAAAAATCTTTTAAAAAATAAATAAATAAATTCTAATATATATTTAATCAGTTAAGACAACTAAGGTCTCAAGGCTGTAACAAGACTACCTGGAAATTCTTTCTAGGAAAAGGTACATTTTGGTATGCCTGTAGAAATTATGATTTTTCTAAACTGCAGATCCCTCTGATCTGTTCTTTAGTTCTACCAGGAAAAAGAAAATCTATCACGTACTGAATGTTATTACCTGCTAGGCTCAGGGCTAGCACTTCAAAAAGGACTCTCTAATTTAATATTAACATTCTCTGGAGTAGACATCATTATAGGTTGAGAAAGTGAAGCTGAGGGAGGTTTAAAAATTGGCCTGAGTATTTTATTCTTTCTGGTGCTATTGTAAATGGGATTGTTTCCCTAATTTCCTTTTTAGATAGCTCATTGCAAATATATAGAAATGCAACTGATTTTTGTATGTTGACTTTACTAAATTGCAACTTTAGTAAAGTATGTTGCAACTTTACTAAATTTATTAGTTCTAACTGTCTGTTCGTCTTTTCTTTATGTAAGATCATGTTGTCTGCAAACAGGAACAATTTTAGTTCTTCCTTTCCAATTCTGTAGCCTTTTTAACCCATTTTCTTGCCTAACTGCTCTGGCTGGGACTATTTGCTTTGCTCCTTATCACAGTGGGTCACCACCTCACACCTGTCAGAATGGCTATTATCAAAAACAAAAAACAAAAACAAAAGACAACCAAAGTGTAGAGAAATTGGAACCTCTGTATATTGTTGATGGGAATGTAAAATAGTGCAGCTGATATGTAAAATAGTATGAAGGTTCCTCAAAAATTTATAAATAGAATAACTATTTATAGTTATCCTGCTTCTGCACATTTACCCAAAAGTACTGAAATCAGGATCTCAAACAATTTACCAGCACTCTCGTGTTCACTGAGGCACAATTAACAATCACCAAGATATGGGAACAACTTATTTTTTTTAAGATTGATTTATTCATGAGAGACACAGAGAGAGAAAGGCAGAGAAACAGGCAGAGGGAGAAGCGGGACTGGATCCCAGGACCCCAGGATCATGCCCTGGGCCCAAGGCAGGCACTCAGGGATCCTGGAAGCAATTTAAATGGCAATGGGCAGATGAATGGAAGAGCAAAATGTGGTATATACATAGAATGGAATATTACAGCTTTTAAAAAAGAAAATTCTGTGGGCTGCCTGGGTGGCTCAGTCAGTTAGCCATCTGCCTTTGGCTCAGGTCATGATCTCCGGGTCCTGGGATGAGCCCTGCAAGGAGCTCCCTGCTCAAGGGTGTCCCCTGCTCCTCCTTCAGCTCCTCCCCCTGCTTAGGCTCTCTTGTTCCCACGCTCTCTCAAATATTTTTTTATTTGAAAAAGAAGAAAATTCTGCAATAGGGGACAACATGGATGAACCTTACGAACATTACGCTAAGTAAAATAAGCCAGTTACAGGAAGGCAAATGATTCCACTTATATATATGTGGCATCCACTGATAGGAGATGATTTACAATAGTCAAATTCATTGAATGAAAGAGTGGAATGCTGGTTGCCAGGGGCCAGGAGAGAGAAAATGGGGACTTCCTACTTAAGAGGCATAAAGTAGCCGTTAAGCAAGACTAAGCTCTTGAGATAGGCTGTACAACACTGCACCTATAGTCGACAATACTGTCAGGCACACTAAAAATTTCCTAAGAGGGTGGAACTCATGGTAAGCATTCGAAACCGCAATACAAAATTTTTAAAAATGTGTTTTAATTGGCCCAACAACTCAGACCCATTTCCAACGGACAGTCCAACCCTTGATCCGACTTCAAGACGTACGGCCTCGAAGCAGATTAGAAAGTGTAACAGGGCTGTCTCCCAGCCCTGTGTGACCTTAGGGAATCCGCTTAACAGCTCTGGACGTGAGTTTCCTCACCACCAAGCAGGGTCTCAGCGCAGCGGCACCGGGAGGGTCCGCAGCCACCACACGGGTGGACCTCGGTCCAGCATCAGCGGGACCACGCCGAGGCCAGGCTGGATCTCAGTTCCTGGGCCAGAGAGCGGGCGTAAGGAGGCGAAACGCCGGAGGAGGAAGGAACAAAGCCCGGCCCCACTGGGTCACCAAGACCCAAAGGAAAAGCGTCAGTACGACCAGCCCACGGCCTCGTTTCCTAGGCAGCTGGACCAAGAACTCGGCTCACCTCGGGCGAGAATCGCGGGCTGGCACCTCCCCTTCACTTTGCGCCTCAGTCGCCATCTTAGTCAGCAAACTTCTTTCACAGCCCGCATCTCCGACCCCGCCCCCACGCCTTTGGATTGGCTAAGGTGTTTCCCCCTTCTTCCATGCGATTGGATGGCTAAACAGTTCCATGGTATCATTGGTCTATTCAAATAACTAACGGTTATTGGTCACCCCCGGCCGGGGCGGAAAAGGGTCAGGGAGGAGACGCTGCCCCCCGGGGCCTGCTGGGAGTTGTAGTGTCTTGTTTTAATTCCACCCATGAAGATCTGGTCACAAATCCCTAGACTACGCTCAGATTATGTCTGGATATGAAATCTCAGAATTACACAACTGTCTAAATTGAACAACTCTCTAAAATGCTAGATTCGTGTTCTGTCTTGACACAGATGCCAAGAAGAGTAGGTATAACGCTGCCACCAAGAAGTACTTAACTATTTATTATATCACAGCCTGCTTTTTTTTTTCTGTGTATCTTTTTATTGGACTTCGATTTGCCAACATATAACACCCAGTGCTCAGCCCGTCAAGTGCCCCCCCCCCCGCCAGTGCCCGTCACCCGGTCACCCCATCCCCCCGCCCACCTCCCCTTCCACTACCCCTAGTTCGTTTCCCAGAATTAGGAGTCCTTCATGTTCTGTCACCCTCCCTGATATTTCCCACTCATTTTCTCTCCTTTCGCCTATAATCCCTTTCACAGCCTGCTTTTTCTCAGATAGCCACACAGCATAGTAGGGGTCGTCACTTCTGCTTCTTTCTACACGCTCCCTTCCGGCTACCCAGAGAACCCACAGGCTTTGCCTTGTCTGAAACAAGGATACGAAAGCTGCATAGCTTTGTCCCTGGCTGAGCTTTAATGTTTAGTAATAGAAATAATCACAATTATGCTTGCCTTCCCTGATTCATAGGCTTCTGGTGAGAATTAACGGAAGCAACAGATGTGAGAACATTGTAAACTTAAAGCATTAAGTTTTTTTCTGTACTGTTTTACCATGCTGGATTTTTCTAGGGATATATTTCCTGGAATTCCTTCTGACTTGCTTTCACCTGAGGTTTTCCCAGGATTCTCCTCCTTCACTAAGCTCTACCCTACCCACCTGTGTTTCAGCGTCTGAACAAACTTCCCTGTAAAGTTCCTTGTGTGCCTACTTATTTCACGTGATGGTTCCCAACTAGCCTTCCTAGCACACATGGGCAAGGCCTACATCTATTTTGCTTCCCATGGCTTCTGGCACATAGTCACCTTTCGTAAATAGTTTCTAAACAAATGAATAAACAAGTCCTCAGATTATATGATCCAAAATAAAAATTGAATCACATGTTCCAATAGGTTATTTCAATTGATGAATTCATATTAAAAGTTTGATGAAACTGTCAAAATAAAATTGCTTTATTCTGGGGCTCCCTGGGTGGCGCAGCGGTTTGGTGCCTGCCTTTGGCCCAGGGCGCGATCCTGGAGACCCGGGATCGAATCCCACGTCGGGCTCCCGGTGCATGGAGCCTGCTTCTCCCTCTGCCTGTGTCTCTGCCTCTCTCTCTCTCACTGTGTGCCTATCATAAATAAATAAATAAAAAAATTAAAAAAAATTGCTTTATTTTATGTTTATTCTGCATTTTATGTTTAACAGATTCTTTTTTAAGATCTTATTTATTTACTCATGAAAGACACAAAGAGAGAGGCAGAGGGAGAAGCAGGTTCCATTCAGGGAGCCCAATGTGGGACTCCAGGATCCCACGAGACTCCAGGATCGTGCCCTAGGCCAAAGGCAGGCACTAAACCGCTGAGCCACCCAGGCATCCCTGCATTTTAGGTTTAACAGATTATCTTTATTGAGCAAATACATGAAAAGAAACACAAAATTCAACAAACATGTATCAGTGAAATTATTAATTGAACCCGAGACAGCCTTGAAAAATCCAGTCTGCATATTTGGTCATATACAAAGCAAGGAATACAAGGCTCAAATTCTGCAAAGGATTTCTCCAAAGTATGAACAAGTTTTTGTCCTCACACCCTGATACCCAGCATCAGTTGACTGACTGATTGGACTAAAATGATGCTTTCACACAGAAGAAATGTTCAAAATTTTAAAGTATTACTGCTATAACCGGGTAGAACACCACACAGCTCTATTTCTGGTTTATCTGTTTGGATGACATTTTATACAAAGTCCTTCATGTTTGACGGAATGCAGCACATAGTTAAGAGCCTGGGTTCTGGAGTCAGTAAGCCTGCTTTCAAATCCTAGTTCCATTACTTCTGTGTGACCAAAAATTTACTTAAGTTTCTGATTCCTTTTCCTCCTCTGTAAAATGAGGATAATAATAATTCTCAGAGCAGTATTGTAAAAATTTAAATGAGATAATTTCTGAAAAGCTGCTTAGTAGCACCGTGTCTGGCACATACTAAGACTAGATATATGTTCAAGGTAATGAACATGAATGTTAAGAATGCTAAACTCCCTTCTCAGATAACACTTCTATCTCCATTGCTGTGTGATAAGGACCATACATTACACTTATAGTTACAGTTTAATCAGTTAAACTGGAGAGGAGACTGTTTCTCCTCTCAACCAACTATTCTGCTGTGACTTCTAATTAAAAACAAGTATTGTTGCCGAGTACTGTAAGTACTCCCCAGCCAACAAGCCTGACCTGTTTCTGCAAGGGTGTCATGGCTCCTCTGAAATCATCCTTATTCTATCTAAGTACTGATTGCCAGCCTGGTGATAAGCATGGCTGTACAGCAGGTATTCATGAAAAGTTCAGGAAGTCATCTTGTTTCCAACAGTCTAGCTGAACAAAAAGGTCACAGGAGAGTGGCCCCAGCCCTCCAGAAGTTACAGACTCGAGGAGATAAAATGAACACACATAAGTTGCATACAACAGAAGGCAGGTTAGAGGACTAAATATTAAAGCAGAAAAAGACCCCGAGGAATTCAGAAGTATGGAGAAAGGAAGAAGGCCAGGGCTCCAAAGGAAGGTGTAAGACCCAGGGCATGGATTTGAGTCTGCCACAAATGTCATCACACATCCATCTATCTATCCCACAACGAACTTCAAACATTTTTTATATTGTTTAATTACACAAATAATACATGAAGACATTTCCCTTGTAAAAAAAAGAAAAGAAAAGAAAAAAGAAATAACAGATAAAATCTCCCTTGTCAACCATCCCTACATTATAGTCCATCCTCTAAGAAAACACCATTTTCAGTTTAATATGTGTCTTTCCAGATCTTTTCCTGTATAGTACATTAATTCAAAAAATATTTGTTGAATGCCTACTATGTGCTAGGCACTGTTATAGGCCTGGAAATATAGGTGTGAACAAAACAAAGTCCTTCTCTTGAGGCATTTATTTCCTTTTTTTTTTCCAAGTTAATCTTTTTCAGTAATCTATATACCCGACATGGGGCTTGAATTCATGACGGCAAGATCGAGAGTCATGCTCTACCAAATGAGCCAGTCAGGCACCCCTTAAGTTTTAGATAAATTGTGATATATTTAACTTTACAGGTGCATCTCAGAGATCTATGGCAGTACATAGAGACCTGTCATTACCCTTTTGAACCGCTGTGTAGTATCCTACCTCGTTTTTTTTTTAAGATTTTATTTATTTATTCATGAGAGACACAGAGTGAGAGAGACAGAGGGAGAAGCAGGCTCCATGCAGGAAGGCCGATGTGGGACTCGATCCTGGGTCTCCAGGATCACAACATGGGCCGAAGGCGGCACTAAACCACTGAGCCACCCGGGCTGCCCCAGTATCCTACTTCACAGATGCTCCCCAATTTATTTAAACCACCTCCTCCCGACATAAAATAGGTTTATGTCAGTCTGGATTGCAAGCACTGGAAACTTACTTTGGCTCAGAGAATGGAAACTGGATTTGTTGGAAGGGTACTAGGTTGAAGAGCTGGCAGGAAAGTAGGGGGCTAGGGAGCCAGAAACCCAGCCACGTTCACACCATTCAGGGCCATTTGACTCAGCCTAGTCACCCCTCTACTGTTTTCCCATCCGTCCTTGGGTCTCCGCATCACTTCTTGGAGAGAATGAGTCATGGGTGAGAACATCTGATTGGCTGGACCACAGTCACCTGCCTCTACCTTTCTGCCAGAAAAAGAGCCCTTTTCCCACCAAAGTTCTTCCAGTGGGGAATTACCCACAAAAGGGGGAAAATTTTATTTTATTTTTTTTAAGGGGGAAAATTTTAAAAGACAAATGTGTGCTACAAATCATTCCCAATTTCTTGCTTCCTGGGACACCTGTTTATTGTGGGCTGGGGCAAAGCTTAACCATTCAGTCTCCTTCAGACACACCATAGACTAATACCTATATTATTCCATATGCAAAAAAGAAAAAGAAAACTATCTTCAGCTTTGCTGCAGAATTCTCTTCAAGACTGGCCACAGGGTGAGTGGTGGAGGGAACTCAATGAAGTGGAGAGAAGAGGAACCAATTCTGTGCAGCCAAAAATGACCTAGATGAGGGCTGGAACCCCAGGAGGAAAACTCTGGGGGTCGTTTGCCCCAGCCAGGATAACAAGCTGGGAAACAGATCACTGGCCAAAGGCTGGCAGAGAGAAAACACTGGAAGTACATGCAGTCACAGAGCATTTGTGATTGCGATTCACCATCTGTCAGGCACTGAACTCAGCGTTGAACATTGAGCCAGGAATCCTACCTCAGGCTGTAGCTGGGGGGTAAGAGGGCCCTGCTGCCTGTGCCTCAAGAGAGGCAAGAAACAAATTCAGAGCAGCATTGTGAAAGTACCGCAAGCAGCCAGGCCCAGTGCAGGGGCTGGATCTGAGGGAAACTTGGGGTGGTCCTGAGTCTTGCAGGGTGAGTTGAACATTCTGAAAACTGACCAAATCATTTTGAATTGTTATCTTTCTGGCCCTCTAATCAAAAACACCCAGACCTCAGGTCAGGAGGCCCCAGTGTTGGTAAGTTTCAAAGCAGTAACATATATGTGATGTTCAGGAACGGGCAGGTACACTATGAACTCCCTGCTTTGGGTGTTATCTCCA